AGAAGAGATGGACTAATGGCAAGGAGGCTGTGCGAGCAATCAAATATGTGTCACTAGCACAAGGGAAGTGTGCAATCGTCATCTACAGAGGGGAGACGTTTCATTTATTACAGTGTGACAGTGCAACTATTGGTTGTGAGTGGCACGTTCGTCTGTGACGCTGTTACCTTCTTTTGGTGTCGAAGCTGTGCGACGAGAGCGTTGGTTGATGTAGCTGGGTTAGCTGCAAGTGCACCACGGGCCACAGGGTTGTTAACTAGCTGATTTCATGATGGCTTAGCCACACAACACAGTTTTGGTGATCGAGGTTGCCTCCTGTCACATGCCAGGAGGCAACATCGATCACCAAAACCCTTAACAAATTTTGTCGAGATGGAAAAAGGGTCTATGAGGCACTCCTGGGTGATTCTTGGATCGAAATCGTGCTAGACGAACGTGCCCCTCACAACCAATAGTTGCACTGTCACACTGTAATAATGAAACGTCCCCCTCTGTAGATGACGATTGCACACTTCCCTGGTGCTAGTGCGACATCTTTGATTGCTCGCACAGCCTCCTTGCCGTTAGTCCATCTCTTCCGCTTGAGTTCCTCCATCTCCATGGCGTACGTCTTCAATGTAACGGTGAACCAAGAATGGCTACACTCGATAATTTTACCAGGTCTCGTATTTTTAGTGTTCTAAACACAATTGTATCACATCTCGCGAATATTTCCTTTTGTATCACCTTTTGCAATAAACCCTTTATCATAAGACGGCTAGATATGTAATATGGAAGTTGTGATCCACTTCACTTCAATAACGGACAGCAATAGTATGGCCGATTTATTAAATATCAAGTTTTCAAGATAAATGTGCGACCATGTTTTTTACTTCTTTATTGTGAATATCTTTCTATTGAATGACATTAAGAACAGAAACAAATCTGGTACTTACTGTTCCAGCCGTTAAGAAGCCAATAAAGATGCTTTGCTCGTGCATGACGACAAATAATTGAAGCACATCTCGATTGATGTTGCCACGTCTGCATATCTTCAATAAAGTCAATAAATGTAATCTTTGCGAGCCTCAAAGAATACAAGTGGGTTGGCTCTCTTCTGGTCCCTTCAGATTTATTATCAGCATTACAATCTCTTCTATGCCTTGACATAAAAACAGTATCATTTAGATTAGAAGATTACGCGTCTTGAAAACTTTGGTCTGGCTAACTCTTTTGTACGCAAAATGTTTACAGCGACTCAAGAATTTTCAGCCCAGGGTGGATGTCCGAAGAGCCGGATAGACCAAATTCTGTGATGGACGAATCATAAGGCAACGTTTGTCAGACCCAGTCATTTGTCGCCTCGATCCCGGCGTACCATTTCCTAATTTTCTTGACAATGTTCGTGCCGATCTTTTCGACTTTATTACTGCTTGATGTCGGTGTATCTTCCACGTCTAATTTGAGTATAGTTCAGCATGAAGACCCAGTTGTGTTCGGTGTTCACATGAATGATTCGCTGCCTTCTGCAAATAGTAGCTTGACCGTTGCTGCAGAAGAGTTGCAGAGCTACGATAACAGTGAGCAAGACAATACCGACACTGATGAACCGCTGAAGAGATAAGAATGAAGCCTTCCAGCGTATTGTTCCAATCATACAGCCAGTGGCTACCTGCCAAAACAGCCACAATGTACCAGTTTTTCCAAAAAGAAGTGAATGGACTGCTGCAGAAGGAGAAACTGGGTTTATGGAACATAAACCAATTCTCACAGACGTAACGAAGCCATTCGAGTCAGATGATATGAAGAATTTTTTCCGCCTTGAGCTACACATTCCGTTGCTATCCTACGCCATCAAACTACACAAAAAACTCGGCATTTCAGACGACGTCGCTGGCTTTCTTACCGCTAATCGTAACGGAGGTAATTTGATAACTTGGCTGGGAACATGCAAGTGTGAAGGTGAGACTGAAAATAATATCAGTCTTTTTAAAACGATTTTAGTGAAGCAACCGACCACCCGCAGCCTAGCGTATCGCTTACAAGCTATGCGATCCAGCAGCATCTTTGAGTCTTTCTTGCGTATCCTCTCTCTTTCAACTCCTTGATTACGCCGCTTATGTTCGATTTAACTTCATTGAGCACGAGTCAAAGTGTTCTGCTGTTGTGGTGCCTAATTTACATATTTTTCTGAATACTGGAAGAATGAAAGAGAGAGAAAAACAAATTGAGTTGTTTTCGAAAGATTTGAAATTGAAACCATTTTATGCTAAAATTGAGAAAGATGTTTGAGAGTTTCTCAATGAGGATCAAGTGCGTTTGTTAGAAGCTGCATTGCAGTCTCATGATCAAGCGAAGTTGGCTGGAGAGACTTTGGGAGCAGAGAGTCAGGTCGCTTCATTTGAGAAGAAGTGGGTGACGAGACAGTGATGAAAACGGTTAAGGTGAGCTGAAGACAACAATCTCTTGCAATTGCTCAAGACGGTACTCAAAGACGACAAAGTAGTGCGATTCCTGAAGAAAGTGTGGATGATGAAAAGCATTTGGACGAGTTCCCATTGCTGCTTACACAAGGTAAATTGAAGCTGAAGCTTAATCAGAACGAGCTTCAGCGTTTGGCACGAATAAGAAGATGATATTGCAAATGCTTAAAATGTCAATGTAACGTTGCTTGAAAAAGCTACAGATTCAGAAGGACGATCAAAATTGGCGATGCTGAGCAGTAAGGAACTGGATACTGCAAAGCGCTCGAAACTATTCTTAAAGATCAGAAAATAGTGTAAGTGCTTAAGGAGGCAGAGAAGAATGCTGTATTGAAGGATATTTAGATTGATTGTGGA